TGGTACGGCTACTTCTACACGCTCATCATGTTCCTCGCGGCCGTCCTGCAGACGTTCGTCATGCAGCAGTACTTCCATCGCTGCTTCCTCGTCGGCATGCGCCTTCGCACGTCCGTCATCGCCGTCGTCTACAAGAAGGTGAGACGAAGGTTACCACGAGTGGGCGCTGAACGTGTAGAGGTTTTCCACGGGGGGGGGGGCTGCCTGTGGTCAAGTGTGTCCCACAAGGGGGCGCTGCCTCAGGTCAAGTGTGACACGGGCGCTGCCTGTGGTCAAGTGTGTCCCACAAGGGGGCACTACCTCTGGTAAAGTGTGACACAAGGGGGGGGGGCGCTGCCTGTAGGGCCCCCTTGTGGGACACACTTGAGGGTGACCTTTGATGGCAGGCAGCCCTGGCGGGTGACCTCTGCCTCTGATCAGCTCCCACTGGTGGGTGACCTCTGCCTGTGATCAGCTCCCCCTGGTGGGTAACCTCTGCCTGTGAACAGCACCACCGTGAGAAACCCCCAATTGTGAGTAGCACCCTTTTGGGAGCTGACCGCTGGCATCTGTGGGATAGTAGTCACTTATTTGCACACGCCGTGTCAAGATGTGATCATGTTGTATATGGTAACGTAATGGGAATTGATATGATGGAAAGATGCTTTTGACTTTACAATGGCTCCCCTTACACTGGCACCTCCTACACTGGCTTTCCCTGCACTGGCTTCCCCTACACTGCCTCCTCTTGCATTGTCTCTCCATGCACTGCCTCCCTCTACACTGGCTTCCCCTACACTGCCTCCCCCTACACTGCCTCCCCTGCACTGTCTCTCCCTGCGCTGCCTCCCCCTATACTGGCTTCCCCTACACTGCCTCCCCCTGCACTGTCTCTCCCTGCGCTGCCTCCCCCTATACTGGTATCCCATACAGTAACACCTCTTACACTGGTATCCCATACACTGGCACTTCTACACAACCTCCCCATACACTAGCACACCCCATACATTGACCGATGTTTCCGCAGGCACTGATAATCTCGAACGCAGCACGACGAACGTCAACCGTCGGTGAGATTGTCAACCTGATGTCAACGGATGCACAACGACNTCTTTTGCGCAACGCCATCTTGTACCCGGTCTCTCTGGACAATCGGCATTGCGATAGGGATGTTATAAAAATGCTGCTTGGTAATGAAATTCCCCAGAATCCACATTTGGCTTGGACAACCTGTAGAAACTAGTCTAACTTGACCGAGTTGGCACCAATACAGTTATCTCGCTCAGGCAGATAAGCAAATTCTATCTCTCATTGTGCAGTGGCTCCGATCGTCATTGACAACGCGACGTTTACGTGGTCACACTCCGTCAGCCCGACGCTGTCTAACATCAATCTGACAGTTCGAACTCACAGCCTGGTGGCCATCGTCGGTACCGTCGGGTCGGGCAAGTCGTCGCTCGTCAGCGCCCTCCTGGGGGAGATGGAGAAAGTATACGGCGACATCAACGTGAAGGCAGGTTGAGCAACATGTTGGGGTTAACGCTAGCCTGACATGCTGTGTTAAACTCATATTAGATAAAAACGTTTTGTTTACTTTTACTTTCTTTAAAAGAACATTTAGAGACACACTTTCTCTGTCTTTATTTTCCTCCCTACTTCCTTTTCCCCCCTGTCTTCCTCCCCCTCTCTCTGTCTCCCTCTGCCTCACTCTTTCTCTCATCTCTGCACCGCACACCGACTGCTATTATTTTGATTGTGCAGCGAAAGAAGCACAGTTGCATGGAGTGTGTCATAGTGGGTAGAGATTAGGAGATATATGCAGGGATGAGATTCTTCTGCGTTCCATCCGCGCGAAACTCGCTGATTTGACAGGTTCCAGGGGCTCGGATTTTGTCCGAAAACGCTCTTAAATTCTTCGACTGAAAACTTCTGGCTGGACGCCCGCGGCGGGGCGAGGTAACAAGTGTACACAAGTTTAAATTAGGACTACCCTGCAACAGCACCTGACTGTTAGACTGTAGAGTGTAGACGGCGTAGGTGACAGCGTGTCATTACAGTGTATCGTTTTTGGTACAGGAAAAGAAAAATATCCGTCGTTCGCAGGCTGCTAGTTAGGGGGTCATGACATTTGAAGGTGCAGCTGATCACGTAAATGCCTGGCCTGGGGGCCGGTTTACAGTGTTGCGTCCTGCAGTAGCATTGGTTGTGTGCCGTATGCTATGAATGCTGATGTGTTCGATTTCGCATTGTGTTTTTTTCACTTCAATCTGGTCGCCAGCAGGCCAGTTATGTCTGAGTTAAAGAACCAATTGCAAGCGACGGGATGCTTGGAAACGAAAATCATTATGTTCTAGTGTTCTATATGGTCTAGACATTTATAATAAAAAACTTGCCTTATTGTTCAGCCCCCTGACTTTCCTTATTATAGTTGGTTTCGCTACCTTTTTGACAACTGAAAAGTGATTCAAGAGTCTCCTAATAATTTGTTCAGAATAGCTTTAGAATGCCCACAAATTGCCCACCATTCTTTTAAAAAATTCCGGGGGAGCATGCCCTGGACCCCCCTAGCATGCGCGTATGACCTACAGTCCTCGCATTGGCTCGCTCTCTGTTGCCTAATGTAAGAATTTCAGCTGAAAAATTAATATTATCAATCTCATCCCTGCATATTGATTAAAGATAGATAAATAGATGATATAGATGTTCGGGTGTGATAGTGAAGCCATGGATAAACGGGTGATATTGTTGGTTTGCCGGTGTTGCTGACGACGACAGTCGAGCCGATCTGGGTTGATGATAATCATTGCATGATCATCACCTGCACCGGGCCGCCGGGTCGCCCTACGTTCCACAAGCCAGGCTTGCATTCAGAATGTTCACGCTGCAAGGCATACACATTGTGTTTGAGACAAGCTGCTGCACACGCGGCCCGATACAAGGAGCTCTTAGAGGCATGTGCGCTTGGACGCCGAGGGACCCGACCTAGAGATCCTTCCTGCTGGGGACCAGACTGAGATAGGGGAGAAGGTAGGATGTCATGACACACACACACCCACACGCACACGCACTTACACATGCACACACACACACGCACACACAAACACGCGCGCGCGCACACACACACACACACGCGCGCGCACACACACACACGCGCGCGCAAACACACCCACGCGCGCGCACACACACGCGCACACACAAACGCACACACACAAACGCACACACACAAACGCACACACACACACAAACGCCGCACGCACGCACGCACGCACACACACACACACACTCTCTCTCTTTCTCTTTCTTTTTCTCTTACTCTTTCTTTCTTTCTCTCGCTCTCTCTCTCTCTTGATAAGAGCAGTGAGTTCTCACATCTCCCCATCAGCTGTGCTGGCATTTCTCCTTGCATGTTAATAATCCAAGTGAGGACAGAGTCAATGTGTGAGTCAGCTTGTCTGTCTAGAGCAATGCTGACACCTATCGCTCTCTCTGTTTGCAGGGTATTAATCTAAGTGGGGGACAGAAGCAGCGGGTGAGCCTGGCGCGGGCTGTTTACAGTGATGCTGACATCTTTCTACTCGATGACCCCCTCAGTGCGGTCGACGCTCACGTAGGAANGATGATCGATTACGAAATTACAACCGATTGACAACACTAGGTTCAACGGATTTTGCTCATTTTTCGTATGTGAGTGAATAAGGGCTAGGGGTTTTAATATTTAAAAAAAATTATGCAAATGAGGTATGGTTTGGCAATTATATAGCATATTATATAGACACAAACAGTCTGTGGTGTCACACTCGTCTGGTTCTTTTTTCTTTACTCTAATATAGACGTTTTATCGGCAGGGTGGAAAGGAAATACCAATTTTGCATTAAAGATATTGTCAATGAAATCTTGTGCTGCGTTCCGACATGTTTTGTAAAAATAACCTATTTATTTCAAACGCCATTACTACAAAGCGGGTATAGCGCCATCTACGGTCACAAATTGTGATTCATTTTGGTTTATAAATTATTATTGCGATAAACAGATGGCAATCGTTTCTATAATGTATGTCGATGGTTGCTCAATTAAAACTGACTTCTTCTTACTTACTCATTTGTGTCCTTTTTTGTGGTGAGCTACAGTGTCATTGACACTTTCATTTCACTAATCATCATTAACTTCTTTAGTTCCCTCCTTCTTCTTCTTTTCTTGCTTCTTCTTGGTCTCCTTCTGGCAAGAGTACTCAACCTAAAACCATCATCAATAGTGTTTTCATTTCAGCAACCATATGTTACTAATAAACATATTAAGAGCGATATTCACATTATAATACACACATTCAGTGCTCATGTTAAAGTCAATACGTCAACAACTGCCGTGACACATTCTATTCATGCATCTGTCATAACTCATTTATTGCTAGTCATGCATTTGTTGTGACCCGTTACTATTCGTGCCTCTGTTATGACTCGTTGCTATTTGTGTGTCTGTCATGACCCCTCACTACTATTTGTCCCTCTGTCATACCTCGTTGCTATTTGCGTGTTTGTCATGACCCCTCACTACTATTCGTCCCTCTGTCATGACTCGTTGCTATCTGTGTGTTTGTCATGACCCCTCACTACTATTTGTGCCTCTGTCGTGACTCGTTGCTATTTGTGTGTTTGTCATGACCCCTCACTACTATTCGTGTATCTGTTGTGACTTGTTGCTATGGTGATTGCAGATCAATCAGATGAAGGCTAAGGACAGCAGGATCAAGCTGATGAACGAGATATTGAACGGCATCAAGGTGTTGAAGCTGTATGGATGGGAGCCACCTTTCCAGCGCAAGGTCACCGACGTACGCGAGGGGGAGCTGAAGCTGCTGCGAAACACCAACTACCTCAGCGCATTCCTAGACTTCATGTGGTTCTGCGCTCCCGTGCTGGTACGCCCTCTAGTGAGCTCTTGTTATCGTGTTAAACTGTTTTTGGTAAATGGTGCTGCGGGGGTCTGTCATTTATTGATTGCTAGAATTTTGCTCAAAATCTGCATGCAGGTGGCAGCACTATCACCTTGCGTAAGAGCTGCTTCGTTTGAGGTTACAACAAAGTAAAACCATTCTGGATTATATCGGGGTGCCATCCACAATGTTGTCATTTTGTCATAATCTAGGACAGTAGTTCCCAACATTTTCACCACCAAGAACCCCTTTTATTTAAATTAATTTTCCCATGGACCTCTTTCTCGATGGAAGCAGCCGTTAGGCTATTTTATAGCTAAAACATCTACTCCGCACGACCAATGTTACCATACTGAGTTGATAATATTACAGCCAAGAAGAACGAAACATGAAGTTTTGAAAGTTTATCTTTAGCAGTCTTATCGTGAGTAATTATATATTTTATGCTGGAGCCTCTTGAAATTTTGAACTTAGCTTACGAACCCCCAGTACTGCCTTTGCGGACCCCCACGGGTCCGGGGACCCTAGGTTGGGAGGATGTAAATTATGGCTATGCCTTGCCCTGTATTCTCATTAGCATTTCTCTCGTTAACAGGTATGTCTGATAACGTTCCTGGTGTTCGTTTTGTCTGATGATCAGAATATCTTGACTGCTAGCAA